TATATATATATATATATATATATATATATATATATATATATATATACAGGTGCATCTCAATCAATTAGAATGTCGTGTATTAAATAAAATCAATGCACACAGTTCTTTTAATTGATGATTTTGGCTCACATTTAACAAAAACCCACCAATTCACTATCTCAACAAATTAGAATATGGTGAAATGCCAATCAGCTAATCAACTCAAAACACCTGCCTTCAAAATGGTCTCTCAGTTTGGTTCACTAGGCTACACAATCATGGGGAAGACTGATGATCTGACAATGAGAGAACCGCAGCCTTATGAGGATTGTCAAGCATGCCAAAATCATCACAATTAAAAGAACCAAAGACTTAAACTACTTCAGTCTGTGTGCATTGAATTTATTTATTTATTTGAATTTATTTGAGTTGAATTACTTAAAAAAATAAATGAACTTTTCCATGACATTCTAATTTAGTGAGATGCACCTGTATATATATACCCTTAAAGGGACTTTGGTATTTTGAAGACTGTTGGTAACAAAACTGTTTTGTTACCAATGACTTTCATTGTATGAACAAACAATACTGAGATGTTTCTCAGTAACCTTCTTTTATGTTCCATAGTTTATGTTAAGCCATTGTAGCCTAAATGCTTATGTGTAATCATTTTTTTTTGTTGAATCAAATCAAATATTTCTTAAGCTACAATTTGTAATGTCTACTTGATACTTTCTCATTTAACACAAAAATATATTTAAATAATCTTTTGTGGGTATTTTTCAGTCAAATTTATTTTGTGATTAATTGCGATTAATTAGATTAATTCATCGAAACATCATGTAATTAATTAGATTAAAATTTTTAATCGACTGACAGCCCAAATATATATATATATATATATATATATATATATAGCAGACTTTATATATATATATATATTAAATCAACACATCTACTTTTTTTGTAAAGTATATAATATAAAGTAAATTACATTTACTTTATATTATATACTTTACAAAAAAAGTATATAATATAAAGTAAATTACATTTATTTAACCATATAATTAATATATTAACACATACAAAAGAACACCATGGTATAGTTGAAATCTAAAATGTGAGTAGTATGGGATGCAAGAATTGTGGAACCAAAAAAAAAAAGTTGGGTCATGGACTAAATATGGTTAAGTACCCCTGTTCTAGAGGTTAGTAAAAAAATTGTTATCTTTCCATCTATTCAGAGTGTAAATCTTCATACCCTCACCAGGCCTTGAACCTCAGAGAAGAGAAAAAAACAGGGTGTGCTATAAAAGAGAAGTGGAACATGCCCACAAATGCTGGCCACTAAAATCAGAAGTATCATTAAAGGCCTGCACGTCGTTAGATCTATTTCAGAAGTGAGGCTGGGCAAGAACTTCTCTCCCGTGGTCTCCTGCCAGCTCATCTAGTGCACCATCTGTGTGTGGCCGTGGAGAGCACAGCCGTGCGACATCTAATTTAGCTCTGACATGGAAGCAACTTTAAAATCTCACAGAAATCGAGACACTTCAGAAAAAAGCCTGTTACCATGTTATAAAAGATCTTCTTTGTGTGTGTAAAAGGTTAAAAAAACGGCCTAATGAAATCTTTTATTAAATATTTAATAAAAAATCTAATATTTTAATACAATAATAAACTATTGAATAACATATATATATATATATATATATATATATATATATATATATATATATATATATATATATATATATTTATATATA